GCGCCCAGCCCACAACGGGGCAGCAATGAAATGAAAACAAAAGAATCTTTATAATGAAGAACGCAGCCCTCGGGACTCAACGCAATTATTACGAGGCCATCGTCGCCCCCTGCAACACACACACACAGAGATGTTTTACCACACGGCCACGCAGGCAAGCAGCAACAGTATTGGGGCACGCGCCCACGCACTGCTGCTGCTGCTGGCGTCGGTGTTGCGGTCAGGAAGCTTCACGCCCTCTCCCGCAGAGGTGGACATACCGGCGTCAGTGTTGGGAGCCCCTTCGGTGGTGGTCTCTGATTGAGGTGTGGCTGTGGGGGCAGTGTGATCGGCGCCATTCACTGTGAAGGAGTTGTCTGTTTCTTTGCTCTCTGCCTCGCTGGAAGTTGAGGCGACAACGTTGGCGGTGGTGTCAGGCTTCTCAGATAAGTCCTGTGCCTTTGTGCTCGGTTTTCCGTTCTCCTCACTGATGGTGTTTCTGTGACGTGGAGGACTCCCGAGGGAAGACGCCTTTGCAGAGCCTTCGGTGTCATTCAATCCCTCCTTTTTTGCGCCAGGAGCTGGGGGCATTGCAGCCGGGGGAGGTGGCTGGACTGCGGGCGGCGGAGTGCATTTGATCAAAACCGTCACGAACGATGTGATGCTGTACCCATCGGGGACTGTGACAATACCTTCTTTTCCAATGTTCGTTTTCTTGTCGGAGTCAGTTGCAGTGGTGCCCACAGAGACATTGTAGGTGATGCGGTCGGTGTCCGCTTCACTGCCGTCAAACGTGCAGCTTGTTTCAGTCGCCGCAGCACCAGCAGCAGCACTACCTTTCTTCATGCACTTATCAAGTGAGTTTTTCAGTTCAACGTTGTACCCAGCGGGAACGGTGATCTTTTTCTGTAATTCTGTCTGCCCTAGGAATACACCTGATTTACCCTGCTTCGTCAACGTAGGCGTTGTGGTAATGGTAACCTCACGGACACCTTCGTTCAGTGGATTTGACGGCGGTTTGCAGCTGTCGGCATCGAACCTCTCCGTCAGGTTTATAATCGAGACGTCATTCAAAAGACCCAATATACTTATCCGCTCAGATGCACCAGCAGCTGCAGCAGCAGCAGCCACGCACACAGACGTGCAGCAGCACAGCGCGAGGGCCAACACGCACAGCACGTGGCGCAGCATCAGCGTCAATGTAGCCTGGGACCACCTGTGTCTGCGGGGGAGAGGAGGAGCACAGCAGGTGGCACACACACAGAGAGCGAGAGGGACACGGCACCAACACAGTGCACCGCAGCACAGTGAACCACCCAACAGGTGATATCAGTTAGAGGGCAGGCCGCACACAATGCCCAGCAGCAAGCAAAGCCCCAACACACCCAGAGAAGAAACAAACAGACGCCTCCCGGACAACACACACAGCACAAGTGAGTACAGTCACGGGTGAATTAAACAGCGCCCAGCCCACAACGGGGCAGCAATGAAATGAAATGAAAGAGAAACATTAATATGTGTTCAGCCTCCAGGGCCGCACGCAATTAAAAGGATACTGCCGCCTGGTGCACACACACAGCTCATCAGCACACAGCCACAAGGGTCATCGCTCCCACAACCAGCAGCAGCGGTGTACACAGCCGTGCATAAGTGCTGCCGTCCGCCTTGCCAGCCGCAGTCCCCAGAGGAGTAGTCACATCGGCTGTTGTTGCTGTTGTTATTGAGGGAACTGTAGATGTGTCGGGATCGGCAGCGGCAGTGTTTGTGGTCTCCGTTGCATGCACAACACCCGCAGCTGTGGTAGGAAGGGCATCACTGCCCGTTGGGTCCGCTGCAGTGTCTCTCGCACCAATAGATTCTGGCTGCACAACGCTTTCGTCCTCTTGAATGGTACCGCCATCAGTTGGCTTCTCTTTTGTGTTCGGGATCAGCGAGTCTTCAGCCGCCTTCCCCGTGTCTACTGCATTCTCCGCTGCTGGCTTAACTTTGTCCTGCAGCGGCACAACAACCTTCGGTGCCTCCTTCATTGTCTTCTCTTCCCCCTTCACCTTTTCCACTGCTTCCTTCACCTTTTCCACTGCTTCCTTTAGCATATGCTCTGCTTCCTTTGTCTTCTCCACTGTCTCCTTCATTGTTTTCTCCACTGCCACCTTTATCGTCCCCAGTGTCGCCTTCATCTTCTCCACTGTCTCCTTCATTTTCGCCTCTGCAGTCGTCATTTCGGTTGTAGGGGTGACAGCTGAACCCCCAACTTCGGACGAAACCAAGACCAAGACATAGGCATTTCGAGCACTCACAGCCGCCCCCTTGATGACATCCACAGCGCTCTTTGCGGTGTCCATTATGGTCTTAGCGCTCTCCGCTGCCGCAGTAAACAATTTCTCCGCCTCCGCAGCCTTTGTCTCGGCGTCCCCAAATCCCGCTCCTGCAGCCTTCGCACTCACCGCCGCCAGGTTCGCCTTCTTTGCCGCTGCAGAGGCAGACGAGGAGGCCCAGCTGGCATTGTTGGCCTTTTTGGTCTTCTCAGCCTCGTTGGCCTCTTTCGTCTCATCCGCCAACAGCACAAGTTGCCACTTCACCCAAAGCGAAGCATTCATGAGATTTTTTATTTTTATGACCTCAGGTACCTCTTTAATCGATGTTTCGGTTGGTTTCTCCCTCGCTTTAGCCGCCTTCACTGCTTCTTGCACAGCTGTTTCACCGACCGCGCTTGCGGCTGTAAGTGCAGCCTCCATTGCCTCTACCGACTTCTTCAACTGTGCATCAAGTGCACCCGCCGCCGCTGTGGCCTTTTCCGCCTCCGCTGCAGCGTCCTTTACAGCAAGAATTGCTGCGCCCTTCACTTGCCCCTCAGCGGTCTGCGAAAGTGAATCTCCTGCACCACCACCATCACCACTTGTTGCCGCGCACAAAGAGGTGCAGCAGCACAGCGCGAGGGCCAACACGCACAGCACGTGGCGCAGCATCAGCGTCAATGTAGCCTGGGACCACCTGTGTCTGCGGGGGAGAGGAGGAGCACAGCAGGTGGCACACACACAGAGAGCGAGAGGGACACGGCACCAACACAGTGCACCGCAGCACAGTGAACCACCCAACAGGTGATATCAGTTAGAGGGCAGGCCGCACACAATGCCCACCAGCAAGCAAAGCCCCAACACACCCAGAGAAGAAACAAACAGACGCCTCCCGGACAACACACACACAGCACAAGTGAGTGCAGTCGCGGGTGAATTAAACAGCGCCCAGCCCACAACGGGGCAGCAATGAAATGAAAACAAAAGAATCTTTATAACGAAGAACGCAGCCCTCGGGACTCAACGCAATTATCACGAGGCCATCGTCTCCCCTGCACACATACACACACAGACGTCTTATCACACAGTCACGCAGGCCAGCAGCAGCAGTATTGGGGCACGCACCCACGCACTGCTGCTGCCACCGTCAGCGTTGTTGATGTTGAGCGCAGCCGCAGCGGTGGGCACCAGAAGTGCGGGGTCCGTGGCGTCTGGCGGAGAAGTGTGTGACTCGTGGGAGCCGTCAACGTCAGGAGCATCGTCGTGTTCTCCTTGCGGCGTCCTGGCGACTGTTTCCTGCCCGCTGATCCCCAACTTCTCCTTCACTTGAGTCAACGCGTCACGAGCCGCCGCCTTCGCCGCAGTGGCCGCCTCCACCGCAGCCGCAGCGTCCGGCGCCGCAGCCGTCGCGGCAGTCACCACTGCATCAGCCGCGATTGCAGCATCGCCAGCGGCTATTACAGCTCCAAGCACAATTGCATAGACGTCACCCAACACTTCCTTCGATGTTTCCTTTATGTTTGCAAACTTTTTGTTACCATCCTCTGCGTCACCTTGAGCACTCTCTGCTTTTACCAACGTCAAGACCTCCCGCGCCAGAGCCAATAGTCTATTGAAACGGTCCGACAGACGGTTCACTGAGGCTGCCGTATTACTCACCGCAGTGTGTGCCTGCACCGCCGCCGTGATTCCCTTCGCCGCAATGTCATTGGCTTTCTGAACGGCATCCAATATCTCCGTCGCTCCTGCTGCCGCGTTCTTCAGGGCCTCGCTGGCTTTCTCCGCCGCTGCTCTTGCCTGCTGCACTGGCGCATCTGCACTCTCCACTGCCGCCGCTGCTTTATTCACCACGTCCTTAAGTAATGATGTCGCATGCGATGCATTATCCCGCACAAATTTATCCAGTTTGCTTGCACCTCCATTCTTAATGTCTTCAAGAGTCAGTTCTTTCTTTGCCCCACCACTCTGCTTGGGAGGCAGCAGTACCTCCTGCAGTGCTTTATGCAATACACCCACCATTTGTTCTGCATTGCCAATCCCTCGGTTTTCCCACTCGTCCACCACGTTCCCCGCAGCCTTCTTAGCTCCCTCCGCTGCGGCCTTCACACTCGCCAGTGCCTCTTTCGCAGAAATTGCTGCCGCCTCTGTCTTGGTCGCGGCCTCCAAAGTCTTCGTCCTCGCCGCCACGCCCTCCTCCTGCG